CTAGATATATTACAGATCTGAATAGTTATTTCTTAGGCCAACAATTTTCATTTAATGCAGGTCAAACAGGTTTACCAGTATATTTTAGTGATGGAGAAATTGAAATAGCTTACAGATATAATGCTGATATTGAAAATTCATTAGAATTAGCAACATTAATTGCAACACAACTTCAACAACAACAACAAGGACAAAATGGTAGACAAGAAATGGAAGGGGTAGAGAATGGTGAACAAGAAGATGCAGATATTTTTTTTTTTTTTTTTTACGGTTTATAGAACGACCTCATTGGTCGGAGGTTTCCCTTTATTATTAAAGTATCTGCAGTCCGTATTTTTACGGAAGGGTTTACAGTAACATATCAACGAGGGTACAATAAGCCACATGTACAACTTTAGTCATTGTCTATTTAAGGGTTCTGCCTGTAGGTTCGCCACTCATTGCCATACCTAAGACCTGCTTGTGAGTCCCCTATTTAAACTCTCTGATTTTCAATGTTATTCTGCTCACGTGATCCTTAATTTAGGTATGTACTTGGTCTAACCTTCAGACTACTTTACCTGTAAGATAAATTCTACCGAAGGAGGTAGTTCCCACAGCCACACCTTATCCGGATTTTGTTGTGCCAGAGGTGATTCCATATTAGGTAAGGCTAATCCTTTCGACAAACGTCGGTGACATTCTCCACATTTCTCACTATAGTAGTGCCTGCGCTCTGCCGTACTGGTTTCCTTCTAGGAATTCCTTAAACCAAACGTGTACCTTCACTTAGACTTCTACAGGGCTTCGCGTACGATAATAGGCTCCTTTTTAGGTTATAGAGTATTCTACCTCCAGCCAAACTTGAACCGTCGACCTTGTCTGTGGGGGAACGGGAGCTTATCCATTAAGCTATGGGACCTGAACCCCCGAAGATGCAGATATTTAATTTTAAAAATAATATAAATATTAGAAGTTTTCTTTTTTTTATTTTAAATTTTATATTTTTATTCATAATGTCTTGTACATGCAAATATAATAATAAATTTGAATATTGTTGTTATTATTATCCTGATTCGCTTAATAAAAAACAAAATAATGTTGATGAAACACATATTACTTTTGTTATGGCTCTTGAACAAGCATTAATACAATATTATTCAACAACTCAACAACAAGCAAATCAACAACAACAAGAACAAGATCAACAAAATAAAGATGAGGAAATGCTACCACCACCTCAAAACAACCTGAACAAACTCTAGCTTCAGATTTATTTAATCAATTAAAAAAAGAAATTGAAGAAACACAAAGACCTAATACTATTAAATTAATCAATAATGGTAATTTAGACAATAAAATTAAAAATACAAAATTATCATCCAATCAAACTGAAGAATTACAAAAATTACAATTATCAAAATTGGATAAATTATGTCTTAAACAATACAGTTATTATATTGATTTAATGAATAACACAGAAGATATTACAATATTGAATAATTTACACAATACTATTTTCAATGATGATAAAGTTTTAACAGCGATGCAAATATCAAATATATTAAAAAATATAAATGATAAAATCTTTAGAATTAATCAAAAAAAAGAATACAATTTAATCAAAAATGAAATAATTAAAGAAAAAGATTCAATACGATTAGAAGTTGATTGGAGAGATACTATTGATAATGCCAAGTATCTTAATAATAATCAAAAAACTGAATTAAATAGACTTCGAAACAGTCAAAAATGAGAAATTCAAGGATCAAAAACATTTGAACAATATAAATCAAAAATTAAAAATGAAGCAATTATTTCTAATTTACTTGATAGAAAATCATATGATATTTTAATATCAAATGATAGCTTGTTAACAGAACAACAAAAAAATCAACTTTATACATTGAGAAAACAAAGAATTCAAATCTTAACAAATAGTTTATTTGATGAACTTAAAAATAATATAAAAAATGAACGTGTTTTAAATAAGTTAGAAGATAAAGGATACTATGATAATAGAATTAATGAAATTCATGAAGAATTCTTAATTGATAGAAAAACAAAAGATTTACATATTCTTAGAAGATAGAAATTAGATAAGATTCAAAGTGAAACAGAAGATGAATTATATGATATTAATTCAGAATTAATCGATATCATTCAAGATTTAAATGAACTTGGTAATAATTTAGATCTTGCAAATGATATATTAAAATTAAACCAAACTTTACTTACTGGAGATAGAAATATAAGTGATTTGATTACTAAAAGAAAACAAAATTATAATAATAAATTATATGACAATTTTATCACCGCAATAAAAATTGAAACAGATATTGAAGAATTACAAAATAATTGAAAAATAAAAATCGATACTGAAATCGAAAAAGAATTTCTTTTACAATCCAGAACAATAGAAAATTTATATAAAATACGAGAAGAAAGAATAGCATTATTAAGACAACCACCTTTACCTAAACGACCAGCTGATGATAATACAGATGAAAATTATTTTCAACAAGAATAATTGATAATGCAAAACAACAAAGAAATGCAGGAGGAAATACAAATGCACAAATTTCATGGATTGTTGATGAATATAAAAAAACTTTAAACAAAGATGATAAAAGAAAATTTACATTAAAGGCAAAAATAGATTATGTTAAAGAGTTAATAAGAGATTCTCATATCAAAAGTAAAGATAGAAAAACTTTATTAGATGTTCTTTATTATATCTGGGTTTTAGGAAAAGATGACAAATTTTTATTAACCAGATATATGACTAAAAAAATTGAAGAAGCCAAATCTTTAAAAAATAATATTGATAAATATATTTGGGTATTATCAAAAAAAATAAAAACTGAACGAAAAAGATTAGAAAAAGATCCAAACTATAAAAAT